TCATTCCACTCAACATCGATAAGAAAGAACAGATCCGTCGTACTCGTGCGAAAGGGAATCCATGCTTACCTCCTGTCTCATTACAGAACGGATTATCTGACAGTAGTGATACTGGATGGAAAGGAAAAGCTCTTTCTGGTATCTTCGAGCTACATGGCACACGACAGGACCGAAACACCTCAAAAGCTAAAGAGTCTGGCGGCAAAAACCGGCTGTAAAGATCAGCCACTATTTTTTGGAAAGCTCCCACATCAATAATAGAGTTGAGTCACTTTTAGTCTTTATACTATTCTTACATAGACATAGATATCTGGCTGAAGAGTCTTCGAAAGACCATACTTCTCAGATCATAAGTACATTCAGTTCACGTGAAAACCTAAACACATTCCGAATATAAAGGTCTATAGAATCCCCCGGAATACAAACTGGGAAAATTTTAAAACGAGCTCTGTGAAGTTCGCAGAGGATATAGAGAAGTCCCTAGAGACCCTATCCTATTACTGGATGCCTACCACGAATCTTGTCCAACCACAAAAAAGAGGACCAAGCCACTCTGGTGGAATCATTCTCTGTAAGAAAACGAGCTCAAGGAATTCTTTAAGATCGCCAACGAGAAATACAGAACCATACTCAGGAACTACAAGAAGGAAATACGTAAGGCCCAACGAAACTTGTGGATTCACTTCTGCTCCAACATCGAGAAAGTACCTGAAATGGCTCAAGCTACACGACGGACAGTGGGCAGGGGGCAGTGAAGAAGCCCTAACAGCAATAACGCAAGTTCCCTTCCCAGGATGCACCCAGGTTACAGATGCCAAAAATCATCAGGACATAATACCCGAAAGGAATACGTACCATAAGCTTATTGAAAAAACTCAGCGACAGGCTCTGCTCTGTCAAGACAAGGCCTAATTGCATAGGGAAACATGTCGATACAAGGATACGGGCATACCTCTATTGGCATTTATGGGAACCACCGACTGGATAAAGAGACGGGATCAGATTCAGCACCTTAACATACACTCCCCGACACTTGAATACGACATACTAAAATGTACACTTTAGGCACCAATATTTCCGGCACAAGCCAAAGAAAACGGTGAGTTTGAATTTTCCTCAAATCTCTATTCAATTTAGCATAAATTAAAAAAAAAATAATAGCAATATTCATCAAAGTAGATTGAGAAAAAAAATTTAATTGACATAACTCAAATTTCCGCTCCCAAAAAATGCGACACTTGAATACGACATTCGCATTGAAAAATTTTTTATTTTGGATGTGGTCGCGACCGGACATTGAATAAATTCTCAAAAATCAATTAGGGTGTCCTTATTACGAGAAAAAAATGTGGGTTATGGTAAGTCCTTTTCAAAGGACGAAAGCTCCACAATAAAAGCCTCGAAGGAAGTAGGTCCATCAATAATGAAAATAAGTGATGAAATTGGTAAAACTAGGTGTGTTCTGAGTGATTTCATAAAGAACGGGTCAAATTATGGCAAAAACATAAAAAACCGAACCAAAATTGCTACTTCCGAGACCTCCATAAAAAACACGACTAAAACTCGATTTAAAAATCGAAAACTGTACTTTTAGCTAGTGCTAAAATAATAAAACATGTTTTTTCGAAGACTCCACACCATAAGGGACTTAATAAAAAACCCCTCAACTTTGTTGCATATTTGATAAACTCGACTTAATGAAAAATCAACTGGTCCACGCCGTTTTAGGATCTTGCTCACCACAGCAAACTATCCAATTGTAATTCTTCTTTACTCCTCACTTCCTTTACTTCCTTGAGTCCTTATAAATATAAAAAAGAAACCCTTATGACCCTTCAAATTAAAATTTTTGTCCCTTTGAAAATGCTATATAGCGACAGTCTCTACTCCACGCCATATGAATATGCAAAAGTACGGGAGTATTCTAAGTTTTCGTCCGTTGGCTGAGGTTTTTTATTAATTACAGTCCCTTATGGTGTGGAGTCTTCGAAAAAACATGTTTTATTATTTTAGCACTAGCTAAAAGTACAGTTTTCGATTTTTAAATCGAGTTTTAGTCGTGTTTTTTAGATGCGGCTCGCAGATGAGATCTTATGGCGGTCTCGGAAGTAGCAATTTTGGTTCGGTTTTTTATGTTTTTGCCATAATTTGACCCGTTCTTTATGAAATCACTCAGAACACACCTAGTTTTACCAATTTCATCACTTATTTTCATTATTGATGGACCTACTTCCTTCGAGGCTTTTATTGTGGAGCTTTCGTCCTTTGAAAAGGACTTACCATAACCCACATTTTTTTCTCGTAATAAGGACACCCTAATTGATTTTTGAGAATTTATTCAATGTCCGGTCGCGACCACATCCAAAATAAAAAATTTTTCAATGCGAATGTCGTATTCAAGTGTCGCATTTTTTGGGAGCGGAAATTTGAGTTATGTCAATTAAATTTTTTTTCTCAATCTACTTTGATGAATATTGCTATTATTTTTTTTTTAATTTATGCTAAATTGAATAGAGATTTGAGGAAAATTTAAATTCACCGTTTTCTATGGCTTGTGCCGGAAATATTGGTGCCTAAAGTGTACATTTTAGTATGTCGTATTCAAGTGTCGGGGAGTGTATATACAGACGTCATCAAGATGAATGTTATCAATAAGATAAGGCTGTCATACACACTACTGAACCGATGCAGCAGGACGAAGATCGAGCATACGATGTGGTCAACCTATTAAAATTAGCGTTTAGAGAAGCAAATGGAGAAGTACCACTACCTGCAAAATCTTGAAACCCATATCCAAAGAACGCAATAAAAACTCAATCACTACTTACTTACTACCGTGGTAAGTACAACCACGGTCACTGTCTAGCTGCGGTGCATGCAGCCGAGGCATCATCAACAGAGACCGCTCTAGGAAATGTGATGAACCTTGGGCCATTGAAACCCTGGAACATCCTATCAGCAATTGCCCGGCTAAGATACCTGGGCGTCCCGACGCTGTGGTCATTGAAAGATGCCTCCAAGAGGACGCCAAGGAAAAAACAGCTCGATTCTCGAGGACTTTCAAACCGCAACAACAGGCGGACATCCACTCGGCTATATATATATGTACATATATACTTTATGGGGTCTGAGACGCTTACTTCTTGCTGCTACATACATGTACACTAGAGGTGGAGAACTATCGATAGCACTATCGAGAGACCATCGATAGTGGCTCGTCACTATCGATAGCGTTCGATATTTTTTTAGTGAATGCTTTACACAGTGAAAAAAGTGCCGTCTGAAGCTATCTGTAATGCTAATTTTGCCGCATTCGATGGTAAGTTCTGTTGGGATCTGTTGGATATTTGATTTTTTACAAGAAAATGCAATGGAAAACAAAAATACCGCTCGAAGTAATGCCATTATAACAAATCGTCCCTATTTGGAGAGATCAATTGCCACGGAGGAGACTGATCCACTGCTTTGGATAAACGTAAATATAAATATATTTAAATAATATTTTACAAAAATACTTATTATTTTCATATTTTTCAGGTCAACGAAAATTAATTGGATTTAGTCAAAATCCTTATGTTCAAATATTTATGCGTAGAATCCGAACGCATGTTCAGCAAGGCTGGACAAATCGTCTCTGATAGGAGGATCCGTCGTAAGGAAAAAATATTAATATGTTTCTGTTCTTAAATACGAATTTTTGGCTTATAAAGATAGATGACGTATTGCACTTTTTGCCGAATTCATGTTCCGGGAGTAAAATTTATTCATGTTCCGAAATGTGCATTGAAGCGGAAGTTGTGGGAGCAAAACCTCGGGTGCAGCCTTGGCGCTAATTCTAAAATTTGCGATAGTCACTTCAAAGCTTCCCAGTGGAAGTCTGCACCTAACAAAGTTCCACATTCACCTACGTGGATGAGGTTTCGCATGGCGGACTAATAAAACCGTCAGAAGAATTTAAACATAAGATCAAAGAATTAGAATTAATATTTATAACATTTTAATTTAACCACAAATGTCAAGGCAAAATTATTAATGGCTGCACAAAATGTAAATATTGACATAGTGGTTAAATCATTAGATTTTAAAATTAGAATTTATTTTAGAGTTAAGAGCCTTAACAGAAAAATATGCATGCAAAATAAAAATAAAACTATAAAAAAAACTTCAAGTCTTTGTATTATAGTAGGAAATTTTAAACCCCACGGGCCTGTTAAGGGTTAATCAACATCGACATATGCCGTCTCACTCAAACTCACTATACTATGTGCCTTTCATTCGCACTTATTGCTAGCATACGTTAAGGGACTGACTTTTGCCGACGAGACCACCTTGTATAATTGCATCATGGGCTGGCGATGAGATTTAATGCGGCATGACCGAGTCTGCCAGGCTGAAGTTGCAAGTGTGTGGCGAATAAATGGCAGACGACTGACAACATAGAACAAATATTTCTATGCTCTGTAAATGCTTTAAGTTATGCATAAATTAATCTTTAATAATGAGTTTTTTTTCTAACATTATCGAGTTGGATCTGGACGGATTATGTAGGTCCAGCACCTTTTCTGGCGACAAGGGGCCCCGCCAAAGCGAACCAAAAAAGACTCGATCTGGAGAAATAAAAATAAATAAGTTTATAATATGCATTATGGTCTAAACAATATTTTGCGATTGCAGAACGTATCTGCTCTGCTGACTGGATGGAACCAAATATTAATAAATCTTCCGCGCAAATTTAATGCTCTTGTTATTGGCATCAGCTGTTTTTGACGGATGGTGGATGGTGCCAGTGTGAATCGGAGTTTCACATCTGTCAAAAAATCCCACCATTACCCCGGGATGGGCTCAGTGTGCAGAGCCTATTACCCTATCCTGAATTAACACGATTATATCGTTTTCATTATACGTATCGAGCCTCATACCATTTCTAGGACCACTTAATGCTAAAGCCATTGCACGTGAACACATTAATATTTTAAATATTTGATAAGAGAAAAGCTTACAATTAAATCATCCTTGTATATGCTGTTGTCCGTATAAACGACTAGTAATTCCACGGAGAGTGCACGACAGCTGGGTTCCCGAAGTTTTGAAGCAAGTAAAAGACAGGCAGCAGCTAAAATTTGAAGATGGGTCTTGCGTACTGATTTAGTTGAAAGAAAGCGATCCATGTAATTCAATGCCAGTAATACGACCTCTTCCTGGCAGTTTTCTTCGGCACATACCTGCATCAATAAAATTTTAATTTTTGAGCCGCATTAAAAAAGTGGATATATATTTCTGCTTTATTATATAAATAATATTATTTGTAGTGATTCTTATTTATAAAATTGTATATACAGATAATATATAATTCAATAATATAATATAATTACAAATTAAACTGTCACAACTACCTCCAGCAACAACTTCATGCACTTGTGACTTCTCTAGTCGGTGGTTTTCGCAAATGTTATCCTATTCGTCTAAATTTAATATTTTGTTTGTCGCTTAATTAATTTCAAACAGAAGTCCATACTAATTTGTTGTTATATTAATATTGTTCGGACAAAGCCCGAGTGTAAATTCTTTACTCGTCTTTCTATTTCGTATTCTATTCATTTTCTGTACCTTTTGGTCATTGTACCTTCGCCTTTGCTCGCTCAGAACCATGCTCTCATTGCATCATCTATTTTTTATCTATACTCGCTCTTGTTATCTTTTCTTTTCTATGCCGTCGGTTAACCGTCAGCAGCTGTGCCTACTTTGGAAGTTACTACTTGATATAGTTGAAGAACAGACCTTTTTTGTCCCCAAGATTTAAAATTTAGCTCGAGATCGGCTCGCTTGCCATCTTCGGCCACACAAGTCTTTTTAAAACAAAATTGTTTCCAATAGGTTAATTTTTTCAGTAAACTGGTCACTCAGACCACTCAGAATGACCCAAACTTGGGTTTTCCTTCGACCAATTTTAAGAGACAGGCTAAGTGAGAGGTAAGGAGAGAGCCAGAATAGAGCATCGATAACACAAGATGCGAATAAAGCTATTCGCTCGTTGCTAAGCTTAAGCGAATAAATTTAAGAAAATTCTTTTTGAAAATTGGTTGCTCTTTTGGCCTCAGTGCAAGTTGGCAGTACTCGAAAACCCTGCCTTAGACTCAGCAACTTAATTCCAAAATATGAATGAGTTTCTTACTAATGCAGCAGCAGTGACAATGTCTGGATATATTCCAACTGAGGCGTGTTATAAAGATGTTTCGTAGTGACCAGACGTGTTTTTGTTTTGCGCTCCGCTTCTTTTCCTTTTATTTTGCAATTGAGCCTGTGCTTTTCAACATAAACCTTGATAATAAACGTGTGTTGCTTTCTGTAAGTACGCTCACGCTCAGTTCAGCCCACTCGTATCCCGTAGCCTTTACGAGGGTTGCTATTTATATTTCGGGAATACGAAATAAGAACAACAATTTTTAAATGAAAATGGTTTTATTGTTTTTCAAAATATTCCTCCTCATGATCAATACACTTTTGCATTCGCTTGAACCATTGGTCATACTCGTAAGGAGCTGACCGTTGGTTTTAAGAACCAATACGATCGGCTCCCAGCCATGGAGGCTCAGATAGCGGTTTGAAGCTGCTTAATGAGTCTCCGAGGCGTAAAAGGGTCACTCCGCGGGATCTGCACGTGCCAGCCGTCACTCAGCCGTTCGCGACCGAAAAACTGACTCCGACCACTCCAAGGGTGCAGCCAGTTGATCTCGTTTGCCACTCCAAGGGCAAAGGCAGCTGCTGGCGATGCAGACTCGGTAGCCGAATTCATCGCTCCGGAGAACGTGCAGCCAAGTACGTCTGCAGCGTCCGTGTCCGTGGTGGCAAGCTCGCTAGCTGTCCCGTCTATTCCGATCCCACCAGTGATCAGAAGATCCGGACCTCCGGATATTGCCACCATAGGTACTAGGCCCTAGGTGGCTAACCACTGGTGGGGATCCACCAAAACGACAAGTTTTTGTTTCACGGCTGGCCCCTGACCACATAACTAATGATGTAATTGCTTTTACTCAAAGCTAAATAAAAGCCGTGGGTTTAAAGGTGGAGAAGTTTAAGCATCTCCCCAACTGATTTTGATACCACTTGTTCTGCCAAATTTTGGCCAGAGCATTTGGTGGTGAAGGTTCAAGACTAAGAAGAAGAATAGGACCACCATAGCCCTTAAAAATCATCCCAGTGTGCCATCCTCCTCCTCATCTTCCCGTCCTGCTTTAACCCGTCCAAAAAACGAACTTCTCTTTAAGTAACATATCAGAATGTTAGGGGCTAACGTAGTAAACTCAGCATTCTTTTCCGGTATAGTGTTGCATTTGCTTCCCACGTTATTGTGCTTACCAAAACCTGGTTAAAGCCAGACATTCTTAGTTCCGAGGTTTTGGCCGGCCGGTACACAACTTTTAGAAAAGACCGTTCGTCTCGACGTGCAGGAGGGGTTCTGATTGCGGTGGACTCTAACTTCACGTTGGAACACTTCACAGTCCAAGTTCCACAGGAACTGAAATTCCTGTGCGTAAAACTGATTCGTCCCGCATTCGCTATTTTCATTACTAGCTCGTATATTCCATCTTCTTCGGATATCCCTATTTATGGGCAGCACTTTTCAGCTTTAACCGCTGTTTCTCCCTCACTATCAGATAAAGATCATAGTTATTTAGTGGACGTTGACATGCAATGACTGCATCTTTCAAGAGGCGATGCAATTACTGCACCGTCAAGTGGCCCGTCTGAAACCAGCAGAAGGCTGTTACGCGAGCATGCAGGAAAGATAGCTGTTAGACTAATATTCGAGGAAGATTAGCACGAAAGTTTCTAAGAGAACTAGACATGCATTCAAAATAAACATAAAGATAAAAATACCACTACAATTACTAATTACTAGAAAGGTGTGTAAGGATTTATAATTTAATAAGAGGAAGAGAATTAGTGGTGGATATGATATGGTAGAGGGAATTATAATTCGAGCATAAATCCCTAAACAGTTCTTGCAAAGAATAATTCGATCTACAAAGTGGAAGGAACAACGGTATAACATTTCTAGTGAGTCTAATAGGAATCGTGAAGTTTATGCGGCCCAACCGATCAGGGCTGTCTCTGTCACCCCTGATCAAGTTGTGCACAAAAATCACACCAAGCATTTTCCTACGGTTAACTAAGAATTGGAGGTTTACTAATAGCAGTCTACTAGAGTAAGATGGGAGACTCACACACTCACGAAGAGCAAGGAGTAAAAAGTTTTTCTGTACTGATTCAGTGGTCCCTTGGAAAGCAATATTTGTTTCTCGTCTTATTCCTGAGGCTACAACGGAGGACGTTAAACAACATCTTTTCTCTAAACTTAACTCTTCGCCTGATGATATAGTTGTGACTAAATTTACATTTAAACATAAGCGCAACATATCATCTTCTAAAATTCTTCTCCCTGATTCTTTACTATCCAATTCTCTAGAACCGTCGATATGGCATGAGCATTCAATTATGCATGAGTTCCTTCTCAAAGATTCGAATCCAAGAATTACCGAACCTGCTGCTCCAAAAAACTGATGTACAATTTTTCTATGCACTATCAGAACGTTCGCTGTTTGTTGGGCACATGGCGTCAAATTCATACTAATAGTGCGTCCTTTGATTTCGATGCCATCGCGTTTACCGAAACCTGGCTTAACTCCTCTGTCAATGATCATGAAATTTTCATTGATAGTTACACTATTTATCGAATGGACCGCCCATCTTTTGCAGGTGGGGTTCTGATTGCAGTTAAATCTGTTTTCTCATCTGAGTTATTCCCATTCAATAACATCCATGGAATTGAATTTTTTGCAGTCAAAGTTCGTGTTGGCTCCGCATTTTTCTATTTAACCTGCTCTTACATTCCTCCCAGGTCTGATGCTGAGCTTTACTTACACCACCTCTCAGCAATTAATACTGTTGTTTCTGCATTAGGGTGCAATGATCGAATTATTGTCATGGGGGACTTTAACCTCCCATTTCTTTCTTGGCTGCCTTGTGATGACGCTAACCTGTTGTTTCCCAATTTCCATAATGACTTTATCAATGGGCTAACGGATATTTCCCTTGTCCAAATTAATGCCGTTAAAAAAATTAGGGACAGACTTCTTGACCTCATGTTTGTTAACGATGCTTCTCTTGCTACGGTATCAAAAGCAAGCCCAATATCACTCCCTGAAGATCCTTACCATCCAACTTTGTCGATATCCCTGCAGTGTACACGATCTGGTGGTGCTGACAGTTCCATGGCTCCTTGTCACATAAAATGTTTTCGCAAAACAAACTTTATCGATTTAGATCTACATCTCTCGCGTGTTGAATGGTCGTTTCTTTATTCATTACCGAACATAGATGCAACTGTTAACTCGTTTTATAGCTCTATTTACTCCGCCCTTAATCAATTTGTTCCAGATATCACTACCCGTATCGTCCAAGCCTCCCTGGTTCTCCAAGTATTTGTCATACTTAAAAAACAATAAATCCAGACTCTATAAAAAGTACCAGAGGTCAGGCTCCACGTCGCCCTTAGCTCTATACTCCTCCGCTCGCTCTCTGTTCCTTGCCGTTAATAGTCAGTGTTCACAATGTAGTAGTAACTTTCGTAGTTATCCTAAAAGATCATATTCGTTCGTTAACTCTAAGCGTAAGTCAAACGCTTTTCCTCCGTCCCTTCATTACCAGAACAAAACAGAAGCTTCTGCTGATGGTATTGCAAATTTATTCGCTACCTTTTTCCAAACAACGTACTCGTCTCAAATTTACAACGCATCCACTCCGTATCCGTACCAGCTACCTCAAGCTAACAGCATTTTTCTGGAAGTTTTGTCATCTATGGACATATCGTTTTCTGCGGGTCCAGAACCGTCAATATGGCCTGAGCATACAATTATGCATGAGTTCCTTCTCAAAGATTCGAACTCGAGTCACATAATTACCGAACCTGCTGCTCCAAAAACCTGATGTACCATTTTTCTATTCACTATCAGAATGTTCGCAGTTTGTTGGGCAAGTTGCGTCAAATTCATACAAATAGTGCGTTTGATTTCGATGCCATCGCTTTTCCGAAACCTGGCTTAATTTCACTATCAATGGTCATGAAATTTTCATTGATAGTTACACTATTTATAGAATGGACCGCCCATCTTTTGCAGGTGGGGTTCTGATTGCAGTCAAATCTGTTTTCTCATCTGAGTTA